AGTACTCACAAGGTCAAAGGTGCATGTACAGCTTCCCATATTTGGTGTAATACCACCATTGATTTTCCCCTATTAGTCTTTGTTAAATTTGCACTTTTCAAAAAATTGTGCAGAATTTATCTTTGTTTTAAATAAAGAAATACTTGGCATGAGTAAAGATTTATCCTGTCCAGTACTATAGAAACAATTTCACATAACATTTCATTGCATATAAGAAAATAACCATCACTGGAAGTTAACCAATCAAATTTTCCCCCTTTTTTAACCTGTGTACAAGCTTTAGTAACCATGTAACCTCAAGTTTCCAAAATATTCTATAGAAACTCCAAATAAAGAAATGATGGTGCTTTGAAATACCCAAGATATATGTTTATGACTCAGAAATGTTTTACTGCAATGAAATTTAGGATCAATTACCTACAACTGTCAAATTCAAGGGAATATATTTTTCGACCTATTTTCGTATGCAACCGGATGTGACGTACTATGATTTGGTGGTATTACACCTAAAGAAGACTTTTTTGTTAAATAAACTGAATGTGACTTTTTTCCTTTATAATACTGGTTATTTCAAGCATTCCTGTCAAGTTTTGTCATAATCAGTTCAATAGTTTGAGAAAAATTTAGTATAATGTAAGACGACATCTACAGCGATTCAAGCAAAATTTCTTCGAAAAATCCAAACCAAGCCGCATCATGATAGAATATAGTGTGGACCAATAAATGATCATATATTTATCTCATCTGCCTACAAACAGTTGAATATGATACAAAAGATGACTTTAGGATGATAAACACTACTAATGGACCTCTTTGTCTTCCTAATAAGGTCTCTTTTGGTCCATTTATACCTCTCATTTCCTCAAAATTTCTACTTTTTAGGCCAATAAATAAAAATTTTGGGGTAATTTTCACTCATTTATGATAGAAATGTTATTATAAATGATTAATTGAAGTATTCAAGCTGAATGAACTATCCGTATAAAAGTTTACTGTCTCCAAGGAGGTTTCAATAAGTCCTTACGTAAAACTTAAATTTACGCCGCGTTCCAGAGAGGGACATAACAAACTTCTTTTTTGGTGAATAATTTGCTGTTTCTGCTTTAAAAATAATTTCATTTACTTAAAACTATATATTTATTAAAGTATTTCTTAGGAAAATTTTTCTAGTATAGCAGAATATAAGAAATAAGGAGAAAAAGCTCCCCAAAACTCCAAGTATGGCTTGTTCTGTCAACTAATATTCATGGTAAAGTCCAATTTTAAGGAAATTTTCTCATAAAATGTATTTTGGAGACTCAATCCACTCAGAATATTTCATTATTTGTAATATTTCACTTAAATAGCAAGAAATTTTAACACATGAGAGTACTCACAAGGTCAAAGGTGCATGTACAGCTTCATATATTTGGTGTACTACCACCATTGATTTTCCCCTATTAGTCTTTGTTAAATTTGCACTTTTCAAAAAATTGTGCAGAATTTATCTTTGTTTCAAATAAAGAAATACTTGGCATGAGTAAAGATTTATCCTGTCCAGTACTATAGAAAAAATTTCACATAACATTTCATTGCATATAAGAAAATAACCAACACTGGAAGTTAACCAATCAAATTTTCCCCCTTTTTTAACCTGTGTACAAGCTTTAGTAACCATGTAACCTCAAGTTTCCAAAATATTCTATAGAAACTCCAAATAAAGAAATGATGGTGCTTTGAAATACCCAAGATATATGTTTATGACTCAGAAATGTTTAACTGCAATGAAATTTAGGATCAATTACCTACAACTGTCAAATTCAAGGGAATATTTTTTTTCGACCTATTTTCGTATGCAACCGGATGTGACGTACTATGATTTGGTGGTATTACACCTAAAGAAGACTTTTTTGTTAAATAAACTGAATGTGACTTTTTTCCTTTATAATACTGGTTATTTCAAGCATTTCTGTCAAGTTTTGTCATAATCAGTTCAATAGTTTGAGAAAAATTTAGTATAATGTAAGACGACATCTACAGCGATTCAAGCAAAATTTCTTCGAAAAATCCAAACCAAGCCGCATCATGATAGAATATAGTGTGGACCAATAAATGATCATATATTTATCTCATCTGCCTACAAACAGTTGAATATGATACAAAAGATGACTTTAGGATGATAAATACTACTAATGGACCTCTTTGTCTTCCTAATAAGGTCTCTTTTGGTCCATTTATACCTCTCATTTCCTCAAAATTTCTACTTTTTAGGCCAATAAATAAAAATTTTGGGGTAATTTTCACTCATTTATGATAGAAATGTTATTATAAATGATTAATTGAAGTATTCAAGCTGAATGAACTATCCGTATAAAAGTTTACTGTCTCCAAGGAGGTTTCAATAAGTCCTTACGTAAAACTTAAATTTACGCCGCGTTCCAGAGAGGGACATAAAAAACTTCTTTTTTGGTGAATAATTTGCTGTTACTGCTTTAAAAAAATTTCATTTACTTAAAACTAAATATTTATTAAAGTATTTCTTAGGAAAATTTTTCTAGTATAGCAGAATATAAGAAATAAGGAGAAAAAGCTCCCCAAAACTCTAAGTATGGCTTGTTCTGTCAACTAATATTCATGGTAAAGTCCTATTTCAAGGAAATTTTCTCATAAAATGTATTTTGGAGACTCAATCCACTCAGAATATTTCATTATTTGTAATATTTCACTTAAATAGCAAGATATTTTAACACATGAGAGTACTCACAAGGTCAAAGGTGCATGTACAGCTTCCCATAAAGAAGACTTTTTTGTTAAATAAACTGAATGTGACTTTTTTCCTTTATAATACTGGTTATTTCAAGCATTCCTGTCAAGTTTTGTCATAATCAGTTCAATAGTTTGAGAAAAATTTAGTATAATGTAAGACGACATCTACAGCGATTCAAGCAAAATTTCTTCGAAAAATCCAAACCAAGCCGCATCATGATAGAATATAGTGTGGACCAATAAATGATCATATATTTATCTCATCTGCCTACAAACAGTTGAATATGATACAAAAGATGACTTTAGGATGATAAATACTACTAATGGACCTCTTTGTCTTCCTAATAAGGTCTCTTTTGGTCCATTTATACCTCTCATTTCCTCAAAATTTCTACTTTTTAGGCCAATAAATAAAAATTTTGGGGTAATTTTCACTCATTTATGATAGAAATGTTATTATAAATGATTAATTGAAGTATTCAAGCTGAATGAACTATCCGTATAAAAGTTTACTGTCTCCAAGGAGGTTTCAATAAGTCCTTACGTAAAACTTAAATTTACGCCGCGTTCCAGAGAGGGACATAAAAAACTTCTTTTTTGGTGAATAATTTGCTGTTACTGCTTTAAAAATAATTTCATTTACTTAAAACTATATATTTATTAAAGTATTTCTTAGGAAAATTTTTCTAGTATAGCAGAATATAAGAAATAAGGAGAAAAAGCTCCCCAAAACTCTAAGTATGGCTTGTTCTGTCAACTAATATTCATGGTAAAGTCCTATTTCAAGGAAATTTTCTCATAAAATGTATTTTGGAGACTCAATCCACTCAGAATATTTCATTATTTGTAATATTTCACTTAAATAGCAAGAAATTTTAACACATGAGAGTACTCACAAGGTCAAAGGTGCATGTACAGCTTCCCATATTAGGTGTAATACCACCATTGATTTTTCCCTATTAGTCTTTGTTAAATTTGCACTTTCCAAAAAATTGTGCATAATTTATCTTTGTTTCAAATAAAGAAATACTTGGCATGAGTAAAGATTTATCCTGTCCAGTACTATAGAAAAAATTTCACATAACATTTCATTGCATATAAGAAAATAACCATCACTGGAAGTTAACCAATCAAATTTTCCCCCTTTTTTAACCTGTGTACAAGCTTTAGTAACCATGTAACCCCAAGTTTCCAAAATATTCTATAGAAACTCCAAATAAAGAAACGATGGTGCTTTGAAATACCCAAGATATATGTTTATGACTCAGAAATGTTTTACTGCAATGAAATTTAGGATCATTTACCTACAACTGTCAAATTCAAGGGAATATTTTTTTTCAACCTATTTTCGTATGCAACCGGATGTGACGTACTATGATTTGGTGGTATTACACCTACATGAAATCGTATGGCCTTCTATAATTTGCGGGGCCTATACCGTATGAGAAGCTAGAAAAGCTGTAGAAATGCAAAATTTACAAAATGAAAAGGGACAACTAAGGGTCAGATTTATCAGTTAATAATGTGAATCCACACACAAGTATGACGATGTCTTGTCATAGATTATTCATTTAAGTAAATACCTGATAACTGCTCTAATGCAGTACACAATCATCTGAAACAAGTTACGTAGGAAAGTAACAGAAAGGAAAGGATTATATGAGTAGTGTTAATGTCCATTTTGGTCAAATAGATCTTCACCTGTTTTTAGTTCTTAGACATCCTTGCCTTTCTAATATTCTGCTTTGTATTTTCCTTCCATAATTGCAACTCGGACGCATGTATTTTACTAAATGTTGTTTTCATTCTTTGTCTTGTGTTTATATCATTATAATGAAGATAAGTGAAAACATTTTTTTTTAAATGCAATTAAATTTCTGTTTTGGCTATTGGAAACGTTCAGAAAATTGTATAGATAGGAATGAGCAATAACTGGTTCATACATTCAGTTTTCTGTTGTGGTAAACAGAAACACTGACTGGAAAACAACTGTCAATATGATCTGGGATCGAAAGGGACATAACTATTCAGGTAAATAGGGGTGCTGAGAATATATTTCACACTAGGAACTATTGTTTGATGTATTTATCCAGACGCAGACTGACAAAACAAAGACACAGGATGACGAACAACACATGATCCACACTATCATTACATTTTTAGAGTATAACTATAACATGTATACAAAGAACATGAAGAATATGCATGCCAATGAGCATTTATGATAACACATTTTAAGATTTTACCAACTGAAGATTCTCATGACATGCAGTATCTTGAGCAGTATTTATTTGATGAATTAATGTTAACTTAATATATGGCAATACGAGAACCTAGCATCTAGGTTGTATTTCATGTACTGATATAACATGTACAGTGATAGGCATTGTTGCTAGCTACCGTGTTCTTTTCATAATAACCGCGCCAATCTCCATAACTTATTAAATTGTTCTTTCTTGCATTTGTACACAATCTTGCAGTAATGATAGTCAGGTGTGCCGTAGGTTTTAAAAAAGCGTATCAAATGCACGAGTGTCTTTCCTGCTCTGTAGGAATCCCAAAATTATGTCTTATAATATTTGGTATTTTGGGTATTTCTTATATAAAATTTTTAGCATTAATTGAGCGATCTAGTGATCGTTTAAATGTTATGTAATTCATGTGTTCCTGTGTTTGGTATCCAAATTTATCATAAACATGAAATTTATTGCATATGTGAATTTCTGCAGATGTTTTAAAAAAGAGAAAATAAGCTTCTTATTTGATATTATATTTCAAATATATTTCCTTTTTCAAAATTTCTAAATTATAGTGAACCATTCCTTCATTTTCCAACTGGCGCTAAGTCAAAACGTTTTCAGATTTTGACGAAAAATAAACCTCCTTTCATAGCAATACAAATAAAAATTACTCCCTAATTGTTTATAATAATATTATTGAACCAGGTGCTCATTTCGACAAAGACTGTCTCTTCGGTAAGACCGGAGACAAAACTATAAACAAAATTGATATTAAAATTACTGCAATATTGTGATTTGTGATTTATGTACTTTGAGGGAAATAATGAATTAACATTTGCATTTAAACAAATTTGTGTAGCTTCTATATGTCAAATTTCATTTAAACTACAGGTAAGCAAAAATTGGGTGACAAAACATTGCTTTAAGAAAGAACATGATACTTGAAACCTCGCGATTTGCATCAGTGTATAAAATCTGCAAACTTAAACGTATACTAAGACAACCTGCATAAAAAAGTTGCATTATGATAAAAACGAATATTAACCAACAACATCATACTGAGAATAATTTGGAACGCTTATACCGTATGCACTATTTCAGCATATTGTGTTTTCTGTGTCGATGCTTTGTTTTCAGTCGCCTGATTCGCATATATACGGGTGTTTACATATTTGGCTGACACCTTGTTGTCTTCAGACATTGTAGCATTCATGTCCAGTTCAACATAGTTAAGCTGTCGAGAAATTCGAGAACCGGAGTCACTCTTCCCCGAATCATCCGTTTTATCGTCGTCACAAAATGATGGAGAATGTACAGCATCCAGTTGGACAGTGTTACTACTATCTTCACTAGTTACCGTAATCATATACAGATGATGTTTAGTAGTTGGTATAATTGGTTGGTAAGGATTTAGATAAATAGTATTATTATTGTTTTCGCTTCTCTGTTCTGTATTTATGGAATTACTTGACGTGTCACTGTTTTCTTCGTTTTGATAAATGCTAGCATCATGCGAAACAAATGTAATATCATCAATTTCTTCATAGGCATTAACTGTTTCTCCTTGTATTTCGAATGATGCATTTGTTTCCGCAATCGTTGGATCTTGTCGTTTATTTCTCTGTATAGATTGTTTGAAGAACATGAAAATAACGCCGACACCAAAGCCCATTAATATACCGACGAAAGCAGAAATAACTACCTTGACACTAGAGCGACATTTTTCTGAAACATAAACATAATAGATACTATTAAGATTGATATTTGTATTGGTATAGCTAACATAACCGAAATGTAAAATCAAGCTATAAGGGCGTGATTATATAATGCCGAGTTTACTGACAATGGATAAAACAGGAAAATAGTCAATGAGGCTGACAAAGGTAAACCAAAAAGCGAACAGTACGTAACACATTTTTTTTTAGATATGTACATAAAACTTAATGAATCAATTTGAAAATCATCTGCTTCAGACACGAACTTTGTGTCCGAATAAAGCATATAAAGTTCTCTTCTTAAACATTGTATATAATTTGTTATACACACAAAAACCAGGTGTACATATTTACCTTGTTCCTAAACTATTGTGGAAGGCGGGAAAATTTTACATTCGAAATTATAAAACATTATGAAATAATTTCCAACCATGGATACAGCAAATCTTCTACTTGTACAATAGCATTATAAGTTCCAATTATTTATGTTTATTTAAGTATAAGTCTACAATCTTACGGCATATCTTCAGTTTTGAAATTTTATTGGTTGCTATTCATATAGAAAAACGTTGCTGCATATGTATTAAAACAACTTTAAATCAGATTTCTTCAAATTGAAATTCAACGTTTGAAATATAATTTAAACCTTTGAAATTACATTTGTCAGTTAAAAAAAAAATCGTATCAAAATGTCACTTTTAGTTTTTGCACTATATAAATAATAAAGTATATAAAAAAATATTGTAATAGATATTTACAAATATAAATCAATTGCTTTGAAAAAGCAATTGTAAACGGTCTTTCCCCTCTGAAAACATGATTAGTTGGTTTGATTTGTTTGTTTGTTTGTTTGTTTGTTTGTTTGTTTGTTTTATTTGTTCAATGCATGTTTTAACGTCTTCCAGTCAACTGTTCACATTACAAGGAGAGAGGAAGAAAAAAAACCACAAGTAATAAAAAGAAACAGGTTTAATAGCCCCCCCCCCCCCTAAATAAAAAGAGGAGAGGGACCCAAGTCCTCATTTTCAGACCAGAGTCCATATTATTGTGTTGGTTAAGTTTCTATATTTAGTTTGGAAAGTTTTTATTCTATTTTAGGTCCCGCGCGCGTCTTTGTATCGCGCAAGATTGTGGCGTCACGTGACGACGCTTTATAATGCGAAAACTAAGCATTTTTATTTCTTTGAAGGTGGAGACGTTGGACAGACAACATGTATAGCGACGGAATACACACAATGTATTTCTTTTGTCATTGTAGGTAATTGACGTTTTGATCACATTTCACGAGCAGTGCATGCTTTGGATTTAATTGATCCGGTGTAACTTTAAAACACGTTTATCGATTATTTTCATACAATGTACATTTTTCAGTAGCAGTTTGTAACACAGATTTGTATTTTAATCTATGAGCAGACATTTTATTGTAGGATTTCACTGAGATTTACGGAGCTAGCAAGCGATTTTTACGGCATTGAAATTTCTTTTCTCTACGAAAATTCTTGGGAGGTAACTGCACAACGTTGTCAAAATACGACGAACTACATGTATACCATAGTGGCTGCAAGTTTTGGGGTCGATTGGACATGTAGTTTTAGTACAGTAGCGGACACAAGAGTTTGTTCATCTTTTTTCGAGAAGAATTGTAATAACAATATTAAAAACCAATTGTTCAGAGAACAATTGAAGGTCTTTCCACCCATAAAGATCTATTTTGATATGAGAATATTAAAATTTGGTTTAAAATGTCATTTCCAGCGTCAAATGATAGCTTATTGTACGCTGATTCCAAAAATGTATGGTTTCTATACATTTCTTTTTTAAATAAGGGAGATAATTTGTCACTTCCGATTTGAAAAATGTTCCTTCCGGTAAAATTTGAATGTTTACTTGACACTGATTCCAACAATATATGGTTCTATATACTTTTATATTAAATAAGTACAAAATACAAAAAATAGCTACTTCCGGTTTTCACAAGGTCACTTCCGGTTGGACTTTTCAAGGTCAAATGGCTTACAACCTAATGCAAAATATCTCATGGCTTTATCATGTATACATATGAGGTAAAAGCAAAGGTCAAAATCTAGAACGTCAAATTTACCTATGACCTTGAGCTCAATTTCAAGGTCATTAACCAAGGACCTCAAATAAAAAGACCCTAGGTCTTAATTATATATGGTTAATGAGCTATATCACCATATGCGTATTTTTATATACAAGAGGGGAAAAAACTATAATTTAATGTTAGCGCACCCTTTAAACCAAAATGTATGTGTTACGACATGTCGCAACTAACAATTTAGTAATAATATGTTGTCGATATCTTATACGGTTTTTGAAAAGAAGTGGAAAGAAGCTAAAATCGAAATTTAGAATATGAGCTTGACCTTTGACCTTTACCAAATTTTCTTTTTTTTGGACCAAGGACCTCAAATCAAAAGACCCTAGGTCTCTATCACTTATGGTTTACCAGTTAGAAATGCATATCACTTATATCAAATGCATAAGGGGAAATAAATATCATATGGAGTCTCCGGAACGCTTTGGTGAAAACCAAACTCAACATTCTGAAGATATAGCGAGCAATTTGGTAAAATAAATTTGTCGTAATCTTTTACGGTTGCGAAGGAGTAGTGGCCACAAAAAAAAACAGTGTTTGGGGAGATAACTCTTACAACGTAAAGTATTCGGTTAAGTGGTTGTCAGTTTCAAAAGCGTATAAACTGTTCGATATCATATACCAAATATCTAAGCGACATCTTGTGACACAACAATACTACGCAAGAAAAAAATTAGGCAGAAGAAAAAAAATAATAATAAATATAAATCAATTGTTTTAAAATCAATTGTTAACGGTCTTTCCTTTCCGAAACATGATTGATTAATTGATTTTTTTTATTGATTGATTGATTGATTGACTGATTGATTGATTGATTGATTGATTGATTGATTGATTGATTGATTAATCACATGGGACCGAGCCACTAGCAAAATGCAAAAAAGGAATTGAGAGCCTAGTGGCCGTGTTCAAACACTTGGGACCTAGGCTTAAGGAATACGCGAAAAAGGAATTGAGAGCCTAGTTCCCGTGTTTAAACACTTGGGACCTAGGCTAATGGAATACGCGAAAAAGGAATTGAGAGCCTAGTGGCCGTGTTTAAACACTTGGGACCTAGGCTTAAGGAATACGCAAAAAGGGAATTCAGAGCCTAGTTCCCGTGTTTAAACACTTGGGACCTAGGCTTAAGGAATACGCGAAAAAGGAATTGAGAGCCTAGTGGCCGTGTTTAAACACTTGGGACCTAGGCTTAAGGAATACGCAAAAAAGGGAATTCAGAGCCTAGTTCCCGTGTTTAAACACTTGGGACCTAGGCTTGAGGAATACGCGAAAAAGGAATTGAGAGACTAGTTCCCGTGTTTAAACACTTGGGACCTAGGCTTAAGGAATACGCGAAAAAGGAATTGAGAGCCTAGTGGCCGTGTTTAAACACTTAGGACCTAGGCTTAAGGAATACGCGAAAAAGGAATTGAGAGCCTAGTGGCCGTGTTTAAACACTTGGGACCTAGGCTTAAGGAATACGCGAAAAAGGAATTGAGAGCCTAGTTCCCGTGTTTAAACACTTGGGACCTAGGCTTAAGGAATACGCGAAAAAGGAATTGAGAGCCTAGTTCCCGTGTTTAAACACTTCGGACCTAGGCTTAAGGAATACGCGAAAAAGGAATTGAGAGCCTAGTGGCCGTGATTGAACACTTGGGACCTAGGCTTAAGGAATACGCGAAAAAGGAATTGAGAGCCTAGTACCCGTGTTTAAATACTTGGGACATAGGCTCTAGGAACTGCGAAAACGGGTCCTTGCAACATGTTTATTTATATTCAAATTATGACAGTTGTAGGAACATGCAAGGATTTAAACACACTGTGACCTACAAAAAGTATCCTTGCATTTTCCTTCATAAATGTTCTCTTTTTTTATTAGGCTTCCCAGTACTTGTGTCTTATTTACTTATTGTGTGTGCATTGTTTTCAATTTTATGATTAAAGGACATCGAACCTGACCTGCATGGATTTTTTTGTATTTAACCTACGTGCACATTTTAATTCTTTTCGAAAAGGGGAAAACCCCTATTTTATTTTAGGTAGCACGCGCTGCACCGTATGGTTGGTGTGATTGTGACGTCACCAAGCTGATCGATATACACAGAAAGAAATTTAGTTGCAGAGGGATTGTCGTCAAGACCAGACCTGTGTATAAAGATTGTCAGCTAACGGATTTAAATTGTCTTTCATTTACAGGTCATTGATTTCGGATCATGCATGCTTTTTTCGTTCATATATTTACGGGAACACAGATTTGTTTTTAACACATGCTTAGAAATTTGATTCTAGGATTTTACTACTATTTACGAACTTTTGAGGGATTTCTACGCCATTGATTTTAATTTCTCAATCCAGATTGGAACGTCAAGCGGACTGCTCGTGATTTATACTGCTAACGGAAAATATATTTTCTCGATTTATTTTACAGGTAAACTATTGTCCGAGCGCTGACCACTGGTCGACTCATTCATTGCATGCACACAAAATTAATGCTGGTGTTATAGTACTTTAACAAAACGTTTATCGATTAATTTTTAGAAATACATGAATTGGAGCAGATTTTGCAAGAATGGATTTGTATTTCAGAAAGAAGTTTATTCATAAAAAAGAAGGATTAGCATTTTTATAATAAAATAGAAATGGGGTTCAAAAAAAGGGGGGTCTAGAGGGGTGGTTGTGGGCCTTTGATGGTTAACAAAGATAAATTGCATGTACGCATCATGATAGCTGTAAAGTTTGAAGCTATAATTAGTTAATTTGTTCATTTTTTCCATTTCAGTGGGATGGAAACACCTTGGAAAAAGCAGCTTGAAGTGAATATCAAAATTTAGAACATGATCTTGACCTTTGACCTTGACCTCAGTTGGGCCCCAAGAATCTCAAATAAAACAACTCTAGGTTTATACGGCTTACGGTTTATGAGTTCATATGCATATCACTTATTTCAAACGCATAAGGGGAAAAAACTCTCATATGGAGTCTCCGGAACTCTTCGGTGAAAACCAAACTCAACATCCTGAAGATATAGCGAGCAATTTGGTAAAATAAATTTGTCGTAATCTTTTATGGTTGCGAAGGAGTAGTGGACACAAGGAAAACAGTGTTTGCGGAGATAACTCTTACAACGTAAAGTATTTGGTTCAATTGTGTCAGTCTTAAAAGTGTCTAAACTGTTTGATATCATATACCAAATATCTAAGCGACATCTTGTGAAATAACAATACTGCGCGTAAACAAAATTTAGGCGGAAGAAAAAAAAATAATAATCAGAACAAAATCAATAGGTCTTTCCACGGAAAAGTGGAAAGACCTAATAATAATCAGAACAAAATTAAAAGGTCTTTCCACGGAAAGGTGGAAAGACCTAATAATGATTACAACTGAATCTGTGTGTCCTTTGTCCTTTTATTTGATATAGATAAGAATGAAACTTTTAAAATCTCTCAAAACATTATTTTTTTAAATTACCTGTGAAATGTTCATCATCTAACGTTTTTTTACTTTTAGATGACGAAAAGTCAATATTGGTGGTAGTGGTTTCCATTGCTGAAAACATAGAGAATCATTTAAATACCAAGATAGCAGTCCCAGATTTGTGTTGCCTTTTTTTTATTTTTTTTTTTTGTAACAGTTGTTGTTGACATTTCGATACTCAAGCCTAACAGACAAAAAAATGAATGTAAAAAAGGTTGCGTTAAAGTCGAATGATTAGAACAAATATCGATCTTCAAGACTATACAAGAAAAACACAGACCGGCTAGTTTTTACTGTATTGAAGTATCAGTTATTGCGATTGGTCTGTTTTTGAAGAAGATATTTGCTAAATCAAAACGTAATAAATACTGTTGATCAGTTAATAACTAACTTACTAGGTAAACAATTATGTAAGTTATGTTGTTTGTAAGTGCCTAAATGAAAGACATTGTATGGTGATTTTTAATTACAAAAAGAGTCTGAAGATACAGAAGGGACAATCAAAAGACGATGAGAAACCGACGAAACTATAGAATTAGACGAAAAACGACGAAATGAAAAAATACATGGCTTAATGAAAACATAGCAACAAAAACAACTCAAATACAAGGGATTTACAATGTGACCCGGAAGGGTAAGCAGATCGCGCATCAACTGTTGTACCTGCCGTATGGTCATGGTACGTACGAAGTCGTCGATATATAAATAACTTGGTTCCATACGTTGCAAGACTTTATTATGAAAATAAGAAGATGTGGTATGATTGCCAATGAGACAACTCTCCACCAGAGACCAAATGACATAGAATTCAACAATTATAGGTCACCTTACGGCTTCAACAATGAGTCAAACCCATACCGCATAGTCAGCTATAAAAGGTCACTAAATGACAAATGTAAAACAACTAAAACAAGAATACTAACGGCATAATTTATGAACAAAATAATGATCGAAAAACAAATATGATATATAGCAACAAACGACAACCACTGAATTACAGGGTCCTGACTTGGGACAGGCACATTCAGAATGTGGTGGGGTTAAACTAGTTTGAAGGCACCAACCCACCCCCTAACCTTGGACAGAGGACAGTTGAAAGAGGCTTAACTCATCAGATTGATTCAAAGCAGAAAGACATCGAACAAAAAAACACCGCGCACGTGACAGGGTATTTATACATCCATACTACAAAAAAGACACTAAGTACAGATCTGATAGTACTCGGAGTTACTGACAGCTTGTTCAAAGCCAATAGCAACTGATACAAAAATGATGCATCTAAGACTAAACTATAAACTAGTACACATTCAACATCCTATAGATTTAGTGTAAAGACGTCATTAACAGTCGGAGATGAACATGACCTTGTGCAATGTCAAGATACAGGTATCGACAGATTGTAGAGTCATGAATGTGCATATGTGTATAAAAATAATATTCAGTTTGATGTTAATTTACTGATGACAAAATCAATATTGATACCAATAAAAACAATATTCAAAGATCTATTTACAATGTTGAATTGGTAACCTTTTAGAATAAGTTTATTTAAAGTATCGATGAGTTTACCCGGATTGTATCTAAATTTCCGGGCTCTGTAAACAACATCTCCGTAAATTTAGGATGTGCTATCCCGTTTGAAATAAGTTTTTTACAGGTACAACTAAACTTCAAAAACAAATATCTGTATACATGAAAGAATTGAGTAAAGGTTCTAAGTAGTGTGTTGTAACGAAATCCCTAACTAAATAATTTACCAGTAATACATACATTACTTTCATTGAAATAAAAAAAACATCACAATATACACGGGTATAACGAACGAGTTATGATATATAAACTCCATAAGATGGTGCCAAAGGAACAGCACCGTCCAAAAAAAGCAAATTAACAATATGGAACGAAAACTCGTCCCCTTTGTCGTAAATATTTGTAAATACTTTCCCGTGTAAATCTGAAATATCTAAATCTAAGAAAGGATAGTTATTCCCGTTTATATTTGATTTATTTAAAGTAAGTCTTTTTGGGTAAATTTCGGCAGTATATTTAGAAAATTATTGATTATTTAACGAAAACATATCATCAAGATAACGGTAAGTGCTTTTGAATTTATCAGTTAAATGCAAATTTGACGGGTCATTACTGAGTTTAGTCATAAACTGTGTTTCATAACAGTACAAGAAAAAGTTAGTTATTTAAGGGGCGCAATTGAAGCCCATGGAAATACCTACAACCTGTCGATAAACTGTATTGCCAAAACGTGCATAAATATTATCAGGAAGAAAATTAACAACTTCGATCATCTCATCACTCATCCAGTGAGTATATTAAGCATATTTTACTTCCTCAATAGAGAAGAAGGCTTTAAATGAGTTGCAGAAAATATATTTGCAATTCGATTTTAGAATCGACCGTTTTATTAGAAAGGAAACAATTTGTTTTATAAGATTTTGCGGAAGTGTAGTATAAAGATTTCGAAGTCAAAACTGTCACCAGAACCAAAAGGATCATCAAAAGCACGTAATTTATCAAAAACATCCAAAGAATTTTTTACACTCCAAAAACAGTTAATTCCACTATTTTCATATGTTTTATTACAAAAGTTGATAAGTTCTTTTATAGTAGTTACAACAGTGAAAGATTAGTTGTTTAACACTTACTACAGGCCGAGATGAAATGATATGTTACTGTTTTTTTTTTTTTTTTGTAGTTAAGGTAACCAATACATGGTTGGAACTTTCAAATGTTCAGAAGAGGCCTTAAGCTGAGATGTGGTTATGATATGATTGTTTACTATATGACTCTCTGTGGAGCGCACTGACTTGAATGTAGAAGAATCTAAAATTTCATTCTTAAGAATTTCACACACAATTATGATGTATCATTCGATTGAACAGATTTGTCTGCTCCGTATTTTGTATTTTAAATATGTCTTGAAACTTCTCTTGTTACGTTTAATAAAAAGAGGTGTAATACTACCAAATCATAAATGTCATAGTACGTCACATCCGGTTTCATACGAAAAAGGGTGGGGAAAAAATGTTCCCTTGAATTTGACATTTGTAGGAAGTTAACCCTGCATTTCATTGCAGACAGAAACATATGAGTCATAACATATAGCTTGGGTGCTTCAAAGTAACATTCTTTTTTTATTTGGTGTTTTTATAAAATATTTTGGAAACTTGAAATTACATGGTTACTTAAGCTTGTACACTGGAAAAACAAGTGGTGAAAATTTGATTGGTTAACTTCCAGTGATGGTTATTTTCGTATATACAATGAAATGTGATGTGAAATTTTGTCTGTAGTATTGGACAGGAAAAAAACTTACTTGCCAAGTATTTCATTATTTGAAACAGAGATACATTTTGCACATTTTTTTGAAAAGTGTCAATTTAACAAAGACTAATAGGGGAAAATCAATGGTTGTATAACTCTTAAAAGAAATAAGCAAACTGTCGCTATCAGTGTTATTATAACAATTAAGATCACTATAGATCTCTACCACTCGGATATGCATACCTAGGCCTTCAAATTATATAATCTCGTTTGATCAATGAGTGCTGCTTTGGAAATTTTTCATTACAAAGTTGTGTTAATAATTACTGAGAAGAATGTATGAAAATAATTCAATAAATACAAATGCAGATCTTTTGGTAAAAAAGATGATTAACAGATCAATCAATATTAAACTGAAAATAAATCTACTGGACATTAATCAAAGAACAATCTATTTATTTGGTAAATAACTGCAGATCAAGTTGTTTGTCAGTGGCGAATTTTTAGATACGGGTTCGCTTAACTTGATACCCATAATTTACAAAACATCTATAGCATCGAATACTCCTTAGTGAATATTGATTTTAAATAGAGATAAAGATTTACAAACATGTTTTGATGTCGGAATAAAACATGTGTGTTTATCTTTATAGATATATGAACAGATGTTTACTAGAGGTCTGAATTATTCATCTGCAAACACGCATCGACGTTCTATCGGCAAATAACCATTCGTTTTACTCCTTTAAGGCAATGTGAAACACAATGTAATATAACTGAAGGAATAATGCTCATCTGTATTGCCTTTTTCACATGAAAGACCCATGAAGACTCATAAGATTCTATTTTGGTTAACATTCCATTCCCTTTCCCCGGAATTTGACATCACTAAATCAGACTTATCATCAAATGTGTACTTAAATGAGCAATACGACTGTCACATGTGGAACAGGATCTGCTTACACTTCCAGGGCACCTGATTACTGATTTACTGTATTTTTTCTTTAACATATATGTAGAAACCCATATATATATGTCGATGCACATAGCTCATACTAATACGCCATCAACAATGCTTTGTATTATTTAGCATTCATCAAAACATATAAAATATCATCTGTTTAATGTGAAACACAACGGGTGCTACATAAGAAAGGATCGACTTATTAATGGTAATGACTCCTGAAGTCCTATAGAGTAGTGGTCTGACAATTTTTTTTTTATAAGGAGCGGTCTGACAATTTTTGAACAAAGAGATTATAGCAAGATCTAGACATTTTGAACATGTTTAGCCCTCTCAGATTTTCTTTTTACATGTTTTACATTATGCGACATTTCAAGATAATAAAAACAACATGCATTTTACGTTTATGCACTATTGTTAGCCCTGTCGGCCATGTTGGATCGCAGACTGGATCATCGACACACATTTTCTAAACTCGATATCCAAAAGATAATTGCTGTAAAGGTTGGTTTGAACTAACTAAATAGTGTCAGAAGAATTTTTTTTTGTAAGTGTTAATAGACGACAAAGGACGAAAGACGATAGATGCCAAGTTATGGCAATGATTCAAAATGGCCCTTTGGCTAGGTAGGTTGCAAAGGGTCGGACGATATCAAGGGGGTTTGATAAATAATTCATTGTATATTTTAATTATGTAAAAAAAAATCGTATAACTTAATTTAAATTACCCACCTTTTGAAACTGGTGTACGATACCGTGTAAAGGTTACTTTTTCAAGTGTTTAGTAAATGTATTTGAAAAATTAAGAACAATATACTGTGAAAGTTTCAGTATTTGAAGCTTCATTAACATTAAACGTTGTTTTCATTGTGAATTAATTGTTGTCCTGAAATAGCAAGATATATTTGCCACAGAACGTTAACATGTTTAAACAAACATCAATCAATCGAACAGCAACACCATGTTATTATATGATGAAATTTCTAAATATTATACGTTTAAGCAATATAGCGAAATATTTATTTATAATTCCATTTTTTGGTTTTAAAATGGAATCCAGTTTTCAATGCCTTTCAACTATGGCATTTGTTTGCCTTCCGACAATTTTTCTTTGCGGCTTATGATGTCATTTGGAAGAAACTAAGTATCCTGCTTACTCAATAATAAACATTGTATCTTTAAAGTGTTTTACAATTAAATAGTCTAACATTCAGTATTGTAAAACAGTCTATTGAGACACAGGTGTCAATGTTTTTTGAAGTATACAAAATTATGTTAAAGTCTTCAAAATACTCAATTTTATTTAACTTGCAGTTCATATGCTGACAATAATATGTTACCACAAAAAATCTTAATCAGCATTATTTTGTATCACAAAAAATAGTTAACTATGAATAATCACGTCTTGAATTCCTCTCTGATGAAAATAAAAACTCACCAAAGAAACTTGGCTGATAATTTGGTACACTAGATGTGCTTTTTGTGACAGTTGAAAGTTCAAACCAAATACGAGATAGAAAAGTTGTGCAAAATACAGTTTCTGAAACCTATAAATGAGGTAGAACAACTCTTATGTTTGTATCAATTAAACCATAAGATTTAAAATTAATTTTGTCTGATATGCTCAAACATATGGTGAAGGCTTTAATTTGTTTTACCTGACACCTAGCGTTGTTCTTTATCGCAACATTTAATATCGTCAAATCATTGGAATTTCAAATTCTTGTGAAGTGCTAATGAATATCTTATCCCAACCATTCAAATAATAAATTCAATGTGTTTCCACTAAGAGACGTGACTGTATTGATACAAAACGACAAATGCAACAGAAATTTCTGTGGATTTATTTATTTTCATGAGTACGATTGATGAAAAATGGTATTTTCGCGGAACTTTGATTTCGTGATTTTCGCAAATTTTTTGCATTCCAGTCTATAGAAAATTTGTTCTTCGTTGATCATTATATTTCTGTTAAACGTATGTCCTCGAAAATCACGAAAATTATTAATTGATAACAAATTACATTGAGAATCTATGGTAAAATATATAGTATATTGGTTTACGTGCTTATGGATGTAGATTACGAAGTTAACGTCAAATATCACTTCCGAATGCTGTTTTTATCGGTATGTCAAACATCACTAACGCCCAGGTATTTTAGAATTTCTCTTTAAAACTGTCTCTCAAATATGTTAAATGGGGACGTAAAATTATTTGGCAGATGGTTTTTTTACCAATAATTTAGAAGGTAATTTCAAATTAAACATCTATCAGAATAAAGCTATGCTTATCAAATTAGTATAATCATGATGATTATATAATATCGAATTTCCCAAGATATTTATCAGACACAAAACGATGTCAGATATCATATATTGATTGTTGTACACACCATACTCAAGGCAATTGTCGAAAAAAGGAACTGCAAGACAGTATATGACCAAAAAGCATGGGAGTTATATCCGATTCCTTATCAATCAAATCACCACCATACTCGGTTTGCCTAGAAATCTCAATTGTCTGATAACTCCTTCATAAACTTTGTACAATGTTATTTATTGGTATTGTTTGGCAGCTCTCAATATTGATCCAGTATTGTTAATATAACATTTCCAATGTACACCTTGTGTTTAGCATTTGTGGTGTTAACATGTGTAAACATATCGCATATTTTGCATTTTTGTTATAGAACATATCGAAAATCGATTGTCTTATTTCATCGTTTAGACCCCCTGCCTTCCGTCCCATTTCACGAACTTAAAGATGATTTAAAACTTATTTGTCATGTAACCTCGTTTATCTAATTTAAGCATCTGGATTGACTGACACTTTCATTATTCTTATCTATATATGAATCAGATTATTTATCCTTTTTTTATATCATTTATTGAAAAAAAAATTAAGAAATATATTAACCGCTAACCGGATCCTTAAATATAATGCTAAATATCACATGTTTACTCATTGTATATTCGATCAACATGATTTTGTAGTTTTGCGGACATTCACTCCAACCTACATCCAATAATGTATCACGATTACATTTATTTTAAATTAAAGAAACATCTTTCGAACAGAGTATTCGATTAACATATCAAATAAATATAATACCAACAATACATTAATGTCGGAGTAATAATGTTGAACAGACAGATACAAGATACATGTAAGTCTACTCGTTTATGACAACACTCGTTACTGAATTTTACTCTAAAATCAAGATATAAGTACGCATCACTTAATTATACCGTATCAAAGATTTCCTGCAGTTACTGTATCAAGTTTACAGTATTAAACCTAATGATTTAGAAATCATGAAGTCCTAGATTATAATATAAGCAACTTCACTTTGAGCAGCTGTCAATGTAAATAATTGAATATTACCTTTATCTATTTCGTCGTTCTGTGTTGTAATGTCAGGCAATAGTGTTATTGATTCGCCTATAATTATAGAATAACTCATATAATTGGTTCAACATGTTCAATGCTTAATCTTTATGGTGAACTGAATTTCTTTTTTGATGTCTTATCAAATTTTGCTTTGTTCTTGTTATGAATAAACTTTTCTTTACATTTTTTACTTATTGTCTGTCTGAAAACAGATTATACACTTACGCTACACTGTAGTGTGCCTTGAAGACTCCTTATCATCCCCCAAAAAAAACGTACTTTCACTTGTGGAAAATGCATTTTATCAAAATGGTAGTCAAAGCTTAAAAATATCGAGTATTTCATTAGTTTTAGCAAAATAACTTTATAGACGAAGTACCTGTATGAGTTTGTTTTAAATCCGTTTTTCAAAAAGTCATGGATTATACATTAGTATATGTATGGTATAGGATATTTCAAAATATCAACTGAGTGTCACATATGCATTTTCCGGCAAGTGCCTGCAACGAATTAGATTTCTGTCGATCGTTCGGTTGATATGTTAAGATATGTTTACGGTTCACATAATTCAAAGTGGTATTCTAGGTGACAAAATACCACAAAACGTTTGAATAAGAGTAACTTGTTCGCTTTGTAAACCTTAGAACGTCTAATTTTGAAGATTTTCACTATATAAAAGGTAACGTATTTGGTAATGCACGTCATGCAAAGTCGATGACCGTATGATTATTATATAGTGATCAATCTGAAATTAACATATAGACGACAAATCAATGTTTAAGAATAGTATCTGTATTTGTCATTGGAGGTTTGCGGCTTTTAGACAAATTTAAGAGCTTTCTATACAAGTGTTCAACTATTTTCAAAATATGAATTCAGTCACATTTTCAAAGAAAAAAGTGATGAAAGCATGATTTTTTTTCGATTTTCAGTTATTAGTTAAACGAGTCAAAGTTGAATTCAAAATCAACAAAAATCTGTATCTTGGAATTTATGGTACCTTGACCTTAATGAGGACTTTTCTTCAATAATTTTGTGTATCACGTAGTGATCGTTTCTGGTCAAACTCCATCCGGAATAGTGCTTGAATGCAGTGAGGTAAATGGTAACTGGAACATTAAGGGCATTTTTACTTTAAAAGACTTTAGCTGAAATGCACTATGTTCTTATTATCAAACTTACTTTCAACACCCTCTTTTAGTGTGTCATCTGTTATCATGGTTACTGGAATGCATCCCCATACGTTATTGCATCTATAATGCAAACTTATTTGTCAAATTGTTTTTTGCATTATTACATGTTGCCATAAATAAAAGTCTCCAGTTATTTTTCGATTTAAAGCTCCAGATGGTTTTATTTCGACAAGACGTAGACACTATTTCCGAATGGGTTAAGGCTGTGAGGTTGTGGTACATCGAGTATATAGAGTATAATTCTAGTTGAAACAATTTTCCAGTGATTGCCTTTAATATCATGATTTCCCAGATAAAAGGCTGCCTCTCACAAGGAAGCTATTAAACTAAGTGTGATGTTTAAACCATCCTTTCGAACAAAAATTCGGATGCTATCACGAGTTGGTTTTCCGTTATGGAATATCTATTTCACAGATGACGTCGTGGATATGTTCCAATTGTCGTAAACACAGTCCCGTCTTTTTTTCCTCGAATGTGACCTACCAAATTAGACATATCAGCAGGTTTGCACTTACATGAATAACGCGACGGTCGCAACATGTGACACAGAATCTGCTTACCCTTTTGGATCACCTAAAATAACCCCCATGATTTGATTGGATTCTTGTCGCTCTGTCTTTAGTTCTGTATGTTGTGTTTTGTATATTGCTGTTTGTCTTGTTGACGTTTTTCGTTTGTTGCCATGGCGTTGTCAGTTTGCTTCGACCTAGTGTTTGAATGTCATTTGGTATCTGCCTCCTCTCTCTTAGAAAGAAGGCAGTTATTTATATGAAGAATAAAACTTAGATTGCAACAAACATTTGATTGATTGGTGGATGTTGTCTGCTAAACGTATAATGACAAAATGTTCATGCATATATGTAGTACTCTGAACCGCGATGGGACTACAAACCTCGATGGTCACGCTGAAGTACGATGGTCCACGCTGAAGTGCGTTGGTTAACACGCTGAAGTGCGATGGTGACATAGTGACTCTGGCTTGTTGATAAGTACACTGAAGTGCGATGGTGGGTACACGATTGTCTAACTGTGACGTTGTGTATATTAGCTAAATGCGATGTCTGAAGTTAGAAACCCCATTTAATGTAGTTGTGTAGTGGTTATAGTGCTAGCTTCGCATTTGGAAGATCGGGTTAGATTTCTGGTCAGGTCAAAACAAAGACTTTAAATTTTAATTTGCTGATTATCCGCTTAGCACGTAGCAGTATGGAGTATGACAATATACTAGATGGTTAAGATATAGTACAATGGATTCAAGTGGGTGGACATGTCTTTATATTGAGTTTGTATTTGCGATAAAAAATCCGGGTTCAGCGTGTCTGTCTATAGTACTAAGCAGGGTCCATATCATTTTATTCAATATACTAGTAACTTGTTTTTGCCATTTCATAGCTATATGAAATTGCTCACAATACTCATTCATCCATTTATCTGATATCTTAACAGTTTTGTTCACGAAATAAAAACGCGTGTTCGGTCAAAAACTTGAGAATTAGCTGCTTCTCCGCAGAGCAACAGAAATTTAGAAGTAAACGTAGGGACCATTCGGGTTTATTTTGACCTAGCTCCTTGCCAATGATTAATACTGTAAGCACAATAAAATTAGACTAAGAGTGTGGGTTTTCTTACAAAGCAGGATGCGTCACAAGAATTAAACAGGTTAAACAAAAGTATTTCTACTTGATATAACGAAAACATTGCTAATAATTCATTTGATTTTATTATTAAATTGTTCACACAAAATCATGTGAAGCATACTTGAAGAGAAGTCAAAATTAATATTAAGATCAAGACTTTTCATTTGTCGTAGAAAATATTTGCGGCATACATTTAATTTTGTACTTTCGAACACTGGTAAGCCTTTATGCAAACTAAGATCCTCTATTATCCGCTTTGTTCCCCAATATTTGTTGCCTGACTTAGTTTTACATGTTTTTGTAACCTCCACCTACAATGCTCAAAACTGTTCGGGACTTTGTACGCATGAAACCTTCATCTACAAAATCTTAATCTTCAGCCAGCGAACCCATGTTGTTAGTAACAACGAATGTACAATAAGATTAGTTCAGACAAGTTTTATTTTTATAATACCGGTAAGACAGATAAAACATAAGTGCAAGTAAAACCAAACAATGAGGGAGCTATCTGATGAGCTTTTGAATGTTATTGGTTATCTATTTTACTTATCATCACTCTTTTTTGGTAATCAAAAAAACAGATTTGAGGGAAATCATTTGCTGCTAATTTAAATACTAAACGATTGAATAAAATGTAAGTGCTTACTATTTTTTGGAGTGTATTTTAATTTAGAAAATACCTTTGATTTGGTTGACAAGCACAAATATCTGCACACCGTTTACCGAATGTACCTCCTACACACGGAACACATGGCGATTCAACAGCAGAAAAGAAACCAGTTGGTCATTCTATGTGAAAGTAAATCATCAGAATCAGCAATGTATGACAAACATCTTCTGTTTTTTTGTTGTTTTTTTTTTTAGGGAGGGAGGAAAGGTATTTATTTGAAAAATACGTTCTTAAAAATTTAATAGCATAAACGATTTCAATTTTACTGCACTAGATGCGTTTTACTGCAATTAACGTCTCTTCAGTGATTGTCGAGGCCTTAAAAATACTTGAAAATCAATATCTAATACAAAAGTTAAATTCCACAAAAGATAGGTTGATCCATAGATAAAACTGTATTTTCGAAATTGTTTCAACTGTGAGTGTTTGTTTTTTTTTTTTTTTTGTGCTTGTTTATGATTTCTAATCTTAAATTTTGCAAAGAACAACATTTATCAGTTGATATCTTACGCTAGTTAAAATTGTTCCAGCCTGTAAGAAATCAGGTCAACTGAATCATATGTTGTTCGTTGGTTTTTTTTTTACGTTCATAAAAATTTAATAGCATAAACGGTTTCAATTTTAATGCACTAGAACGTCATATACAGAACAGTAAAAATACAATCTTTTTTTTTTTCTTGCAAGAGTAGGTCTTCTGTACTATAAAAGTGTTGGGTATTCCAAATATATACGTTATGTATAACACACTTGTATTTTGTAGGGGAGGATTAAGTTTACTGGCTTGTATGTATTATGATTCCCAAATTTTGCTCTGAGCGTTTCATATGGAAATTGGTCAATAAAGTCCTGTCAAATCTCCATTAGTTGGTTCGGTCAAAAACACATTATAAGAGAATTTATAGAGAATACTAGCCTGGTAGTTCAAACTACTTAACCTACTTAAATGTACAGATATCGGTGTCAAAATTTGATGACAGACTTGCAAAAGCAACGTCATATACAAAACAGCAAAAATATAATCTTGTGCAGTCGCATGACCAATCGCTACCGAATTTCAAAACAAAAAAAAACATTAACCATATATGCTTCAAATTTTCAATCTCACCTCATTCGCAAAATAATACACCAACGCAATGATTCAACAACTTTACAATATTAAGTCTGTTCATTTTAATATTTATTTAAATTCTACTCACCCTTCCGGGCACCTGCGATCACCCCCAGTTTTTGGTGGAGTTCGTGTTGCTCAGTCTTTGGTTTGGTTTGTTATGTTTTGTTAACTGTTGTTTGATTTTATTTTTTTTTTCATTTTTAGCCATGGCGTGGTCAGTTTATTTTCGACTTATGAATTTTAATGTCCCTTTGGTATCCTTCGCCTCTCTTTTAAGACAATTTTTAAACTTTATATATATATATATATATATATATATATATATATATATATATATATAACTTTATAAATAATATTTCCATATTTATAGACAAAATACTTCTCATACATTTCTGCGGGTGTAATATTACACTTTTAATAGCTCATTTCTATTGGTAATACATTTTAGTTAACGTTTTGCCAAATCAATGATACAAGTACTATAAAATATCTTAGCATACCAATATAACAATCATGAAAACCTGAGACACCAGTCAAGGAAAGCAATGCAGTTAGAGACTCGCATTGTGTCCTCATCAAAACAGCAATCATTTGGCGGCATATTTAGTTTTTGAACGAATATTGTTTAGTTTTTTTCCTATCATGGGGAGATCAATGTTTACCTATATTTCGGTCAGAATTTTATCGATGGAATACCCGACCCAAACATTTCTAAGATGGTTTGTTTAACGAGAGGTGATTTCGTCGTTGCTTTTGATGAATTGAATTTGACCATTTAGAATCAGTGACATTTGATGTATTGGTAAATCAGAAAAGGAAATGTGTATTGTCATTGCCATTCAGAAAAAGGTCTTTTAACTTCAAAATATATTCTGTACCGGATATCCATGATAAAAAATACATAGCACGGACATCTAAAGCTAGGAAGTTCTTTCTGTCTTATGGTTTCGGGCATTCACCCTAAATGTATTCTTATAAAAGAAAAACAACTGTAATGAGTGGGGTGATTCATATTGGAAAAAAATTTATAAATAAAGCAATTTCTAATTAGAATTGACAAATAAAAAAGCTTACTTTTACATCCAGTGGAATGCTGTTCATAATGGCTACAACAGAAGTACTTTGTGAAATAGATTGTACCAGCTTTTGTTGAAGTCCTGTTCTCAAATGCAAGTATACAAATTAATACATATATGCGTGTTGAAAATTTATCAAATCAAAAAGATGTTCAGTTTGATTAAAGGAAACCTATTTCAGTGCGCTTTGCCATGGATAATTTTTTTGATGAAATATTGTTTGAACCCGATGGACTGAAATATGACTTAATAGAATAAACCTCTTCTGCGGTAATTGAACAGCAACACAACGATATACAAAATACTTCTGAAGGTATATATTATACACCATCAATACAATACGTCTGGATATTCTTTGGATAAAATTGAAAACTTGTCAATTCACACTTAGTTATATACTGAATTACATCATTAAGATAAAAACAAAGGTCAAACATTGACATAGGTTTCTGTCTTAAGACGGACTTAAAAAAGTGTCACCTTAATCTTTACGCACTTTTTCTATATTTGGAGCGATTGAGATCTAATCCTATTGTAAAAAGTATTGTTGAAATTGATGTATTGTTCCTTAGAACGTTTTTTTTTTAATTCTCTCTCGGGGTGAAACAGCCTTGTTTACATATACTTCTCATCACCTTAGATTCATACAAAGTATACAAATTAATACATATATGCGTGTTGAAAATTTATCAAATCAAAAAGATGTTTAGTTTGATTAAAGGAAACCTATTTCAGTGCGCTTTGTAATGGATAATTTTTTTAATGAAATATTGTTTGAACCCGATGGACTGAAATATGACTTAATAGAATAAACCTCTTCTGCGGTAATTGAACAGCAACACAACGATATACAAAATACTTCTGAAGGTCAACATTATACACCATCAATACAATACATTCGGATATTTTTGGATAAAATTGAGAACTTGTCAATTCACACTTAGTTATATACCAAATTAAATCATTAAAATAAAGACAAAGGTCAAACATTGACATAAGTTTCTGTCTGATGACGGACTTAAAAAAATTGTCGGCTTAATCTTTACGCACTTTTCTATATTCGGAGCGATTGAGATCTAATCCTATTGCAAGAAAAGTACTGTTAAAATCGGTGTATTGTTCCTTACGATTTTTTTTAATCTCTCTCGGAGTGAAACAGCCTCGTTCACATATACTTCTCATCACCTTAAATTCATACTAAATCAATTAAGCCAAACAACACATGAATATTAACAACAAGTCAGCCAATAAATGTATGAATAATTGCAGCACATGTCATGTATACCGAATTTGGATTCATACGATTATATATTACAAATGCATTCGTCGGTGTCAATAACACAATTAGTCAATGCGCTTAACGTCAATTTAGTTATCGGTCCTTTTGTTGGACCAGATAGTAGGATATAAATCATAAACTCGAAAGAGCCTGTGTCGCTCACCTGAATGTATGTACATCTTCATCAATGGTCATTTTCGTATATTGCAGACTAGAATTCAATGCATGATAAATACTCTCGTTTGTTGATCTTGTATTGCTGATTATGTCTAATATAATTTTTGTTGATAACAAAAATAAAATTATGAAAAAACCGTGATTCACTGTCATATACTGTTTGAAAATCTATGTATTGACAATTTCTGACTTTTGGATGGATTTTTAGATTTTTTTTAATAATTCAGTTTTTTATTCGTTACTTTACGTGTAATTTAATACATTTATCCTGTCTCATAATAATCTAGCAAGTGAGGTAAATAACCATAATATGGTATAAAATCTATGGATTAAGCATGATAATAACATTTTTATTGATACAAATAGTATGGTTATAATAGTGCCAAAACACATTCAAATATACATATACACATAAAATATACATACATATGTTTATGGCTTTACACCATTAACATTGTATTAGTGACCTTAGTCCAGGGGTTCCAGTACAAGTTGTATTCTTCCACACTAACCTTTCTTGACGAAATATGATGTTTTTTTTAAATCAAGTTTTTTATGTTAATTTTAAGTCTATTTATATGAGGTTTTACATTTTGCATCTTAGATCTTTAATGAAGCACTTTGTCAGTAAGATAACCCTATTTTTGATAATAAAATTCAATTTATAATTTTCATAGAAGCCAAAATGGTAATATACAAATTTAGTGGAATTTTGATTTGTACTATATCACTGTTTCTCTCTATCTTCTATAAATTATGAGCAAAACCTTAAAATTTTGAAATCGTCATTTCAGGACAATATCTAACATAAGGATTCGACTGAAAATTTTGGCCATGCTGTCAATGAGACGACATGATCTATATTTAGATCATGCCTTGCTGATCATGAGCTTTCTTTACATTTTTTTTTTAGTTCCATATTTTTGGCACAAAATGCAAATATGGGTAAACATCAAAAATATGGGCAAAAATCTCAGATCTGAGGGTCCCCTTTCTTTATGTGCCTGTCCCAAGCTTGTAGTTCCGTGGTTGTTGTTGGTTCATGTCTGTCGTATTTGGTTTTTCGTAAATTGATTCGTTATAAATCAGACCGTTAGTCTTCTCAATTGAATTTCATATTTTTTTATATTAGGGCCTTTTATAGCCGACTATACAGTATGGGTTTTTCTCATTGTAGAAGGCCGTACGGTTGCCTATAATTGCTTACATCCACTTCATTTGAACTTTGATGAATAGTTATCTCATTGACAATCATACTGCATCTCCTTATTTATTTCGTCTATGTAACATATTTGTAGATAGTGTCTTATAAAAATAAGAAGTTTGGGTATCAATGACAATGAGACAACCCTCCACCAGACACCAAATGACATAGTAGTTAACAACTATAGGTCACCGTACGGCCTTCAACAACGAGCAAAACCCATACTGCATAGTCAGCTATAAAAGGGCTCGAAATGACAAATGTAAAACAAATCAAACGAGAAAACTAACAGCCTGAAATAAGTATAAAACAATGAACAAAATAAAAATATGATATACTGAATCAAACGACATTTACTGATTTACAGGCTCCTGACTAGAAACATGCATATACAGAATGTGGCAGGATTAATCATGTTAGCGGGCGCCTAACCCAACCCTAACCTTGGACAGTGACGTAACAGTACTGTACAACATATGAACAATCTTTAAAAATCAGTTAATAAGAACTTAACTCATCATATCGACACAAAGCAGAAAAACACAGACTGGACGTGGTAGGGTATTTATACATTCCTAGATCTGTGAGTACTTGCAGTTACTGACAGCTAGTTCAACGCCAATAACAATTAATGAAAAAATCATGTATCTAAGACTAAAGTATCAATCAGCACACATTCAAGTGTTAAGACGTCATTAACAGTCCGGGAAAAACATGACATTGTGTAATTTCAAAATACAGGTATCGACAGATTGTAGAGTCGTGAATGTGCATATGTATATGGATATAACAATAATATTAGTTTGGTTTTAATTTACTAATAACAAAATCATTATGAATACCAATAAAACAATATTAAAGATCTAATTATAGTGTTGAATATGTAACCTTTTAAAATAAGTTTGTTTAAAGGATCGATTGGTTACCCGGATTATATCTAAATTTCCAGGGTTGGTAAACAACAGCTTCGTAAAAATGAGGATGTGCTATCCTGTTTAATATAAGGTTGTTGCAAGTCCAGCCAAACTTAAGACATGTACAAACCAAATGTTTGTATCTATAGAACATATCAAGACAATATACAAAATATTCATTGTGTCCCTGTGATCTATTTTTAGACCTATCGGATATGTTGGACGGCAGACTGGACTGGATCATTGGCTCACATTTTCTAAACTCGATATCACAAGGATGATTCTGGTAAAGATTGGCTGAATAGTTTCGGAGAAGATTTTTATAAAAGTTAATAGTCGACAACGGACGAAAGACGATGAACACCAAGATAGAGCACTAACTCACATTTGGGCTAAGTGAGCCCTAAAGAGGCAGAAGAGACCAAGGGGAATGATAACTAATTGTTTTTCGATGTGAAGCCTGCTTTAAAATTATATAACTGTGCTAAAATAACGTACCCTTTGACACTGACTAACAATACCTTGTAAAGATTACTTAGTAAATGTCTTTGAAATATAAGCATGATATACTAAGAAGTTAACGCCGCGTGCCCAAATTTCGTGAGTTAACTTCAATGTTCGCGTTTACAAGTAAACGCGCGTTTACTATAATTACGTTAACGCGGTCAAAATGGAAATTTCTAATGTCTACCCGAGTAAACGGGCGTGCACCTAAAAGTAAACGGCCGTTTACTACAGATTTCACAAGTGAATTTTTACGTGCACTTGAAAGTAAACGCGCGTTTACTTTTTGCGTTAACTGATTGTATAAATTAAGAAATAAAATTCGTGTTCATTTGTACATTTATTTGATTAAAACGACTTTTATCTCAGTAATATTTTACGTATATGACATGTGTTTCAAACCAGAACAATTCAAAAACACTATTAATATTAATTCGAAATATTCAATTTTATTAAATACAAAAAATCAGTTCCAATAACTTTACTCAGTAGCAGATTTTCTATATTTTCTTTTCAAAAGTTACATGTACAAATATCGAGGCGGATAGAAAGCTGGGTTATCCAACACATCGGAAAAATATTTTTATATGATGGGATATAAACATCATCGTATACGTTGCTTAGTTCCCCATTTTAAGCAGTCTCTTCCTAAATAACACTCTATGCATTTAATACATGGAATTTTAATCGTAATTCACCTTGTTTGCCTTGGATTTACATAATTTATGATTCTATTTTGCCGAATGTTCCAACGAAAATCGTACAGTGTATATATAGGGATATTAGTAAAGTGTTGTATAAGTATGCACATTTGTACCACCTCGTCAATTTAGACAGACATATCCCTAACGATTATAAATGATATCTGGGACGTCCGAAAAATATACTCGATCTGAACATGAAACATGAAATATTTGCCCCTGGATGTTAGTCTACACGCAAAACCAATCAACCTACATGGTATATTAACAGTATACTATTCCAAGAAGAGAACTTCTCATTCTTTTCATTATAAAGTACACGAATCAGTCATGTGAGTGTTGGATGATGCCGTTAAATAGTTTTGTTTAAAATACAAACCATCATGAACTACTGACTTTAGTGACGGTTCATTATTATGGATATAGAAAGGAAATGATATGGCACTCTAAATTGATGTG